CACTTCCTGCTTAGAATTGCTTTTGCTATTCTGGGTCTTTTATTTTTCCATATGAATTTCATGATTGCTTTATCTATTTCTACAAGAAATGCCATTGGGATTTTGATTGGCTCTGCTTCACTTCTAATCTTCAAGTAGCAAGGCTTTTTGTAGCCCCAGGGGGAGTCCCACTCCTTCCAATTGTCAAAAAGTAATTTTTCGGATTATCAGAATTAAAATCCTAGGGACTGGGGTTGTGGCTCAGTGGTAGAGTGCTCGTCTAGCATGGTTGAGGCACTGGGTTCGATCCTCGGCACCACATAAAAATATAGTGTCCACCTAAAACTAAAAAAATAGATATTAAGAAAAATCCTATTGGCCAGCTGGGGTTGTAGCTAAGTGGTAGAGTACCTGCCTAGCATGTCTGAGGCACTGGGTTTGATCCTCAGCACCACATATACATGAAAAAATTTGACAACTTAAAAAAAAAAAATCCTATTGGCCCTCTTAGACCACTCTGCATGCTCAACACTTGGAGCACCTGAACTCTGTCCACCTTCTCTTGCTATTTCTATTGGTCTGTTTTCTTTCTGTACTCCTTTTGGGATCGAAGAATGGCAATGAGGATTTAATTGGGAAATTGAGAATCTGAGAGACAGGACTTCTAGATCTACAGTTGCCTTCTTTGGTATGAGCCCATTTCCATTCTCTGGACCTTCTATAGAAATATGTTCTTTGTAACTTGCCCTTTTCACTTTGTTAACATTCTCATTTTAAAGAATATCCTCACACATAAATCTTTTGTGCATTTTTAATTGTCTTAAAGCTGTTAGGCTTCAATGGGATTCTAAGAGAATTCTAAGAGAACACTTTCAAGCCTTTTTTAAAAAAATTATTATTTTAGTTATACATGGGCACAATACCTTTATTTATTTAATTTTATGTGGTGCTGAGGATGGAACCCAGGGCCTCACACATGCTAGGGAAGCACTCCATCACTAAGCCAAACCATAGCCCTCAAGGCTTTTATGCAGCAAAATCATGTTTTGCCTCAATAATATCAACATTGGGTATCATGATTAAAAAGTTCCACCAATCTAAGACATTGTATTAACATTTTTCCTCTACCCTAACCGCAGGGTCACTTCAAGTAGAGGTTCTCAGTGAGTTCAGTAATCAATACTTGGAGTGAAGCCAGGCACTGTGGTGCACATTCATAACTGGGGAGGCTGAGGTAGGAGAACCACAACATTGATGCCAGCCTAAGGAACTTAGTGAGACCCAAAATAATAAATAAAAAGGGCTGAGGATATAGCTCAATGGTAGAGCACCCCTGGATTCAATTCTCAGTATTGAAGGAAAAAAAGGGCAGGGGGGGGGTGGTAATGAAAAGAAGTAAATAATTTGTAGCAAGATTATAGAAATGACTTTATATTACAAAACAATTTTATATTATAAAATAATGGGGGCTATAGCTCAGTGATAGAGTGAATGTTCAGCATATGTGAGTCTCTCTGGTTCAATTCCCAGCACCAAAACAAAACAATTTCTATACAATAGTTGTGTAGCTTTGCATTTCCATTATATACTGCAAGATGTTCACCATGCAAACACAAAATTCAGTAACAACAAATTTCACATTATAAGAGCAACTTTTCTATTACATCTACACCTGCTTTTGCAATAGATGGTTCATTTTTCAAATATGGTAATGAGGTGCTTAATTGATGGGGACGTCTAAAAAAAATGCATCCTTAGGCAGGTTCATTGTGTGAACACCAATGTACTTACACAAATTAAAATAGCTAAGTCACTAGGTGATACAATCTCACAGGACCACTGTCATTTACATAGCTTACAGTTGATGGAAATCTCCTTTTGTGGCATATATCTATATGCTGAATGCAGGCTGGGGACTGAACCCAAGGGTGTTGTACCACTAAGCTACATTCCCGGCTCTTTTTACTTTGAGACAGGGCCTTGCTAAGTTGCTGAGGCTGGCCTCAAACTTGTGATCTCCTCAGACTCCCAAGTTGCTGGGATTACAGGTATATGCCACAACACTCGACTAAACACAAGCTTTATGGTCTAATATTTCGGAGAACTTAAGCCAAACAGCTCATATCAAAACAATAAATCTGCATGAAAACTAAATTAATTTAAAAGCAAAATTAATATCAAGTGAAAACTAAGTCAAATACATACAACACTAATGATACTGTAAGTCTCCTTCCAAGACTGGATATTCAAACTATCAGCGTACGCCCAGGCTGGCC